AGCCCTTGACCGTCATCGATTAAAAGTTTTATACATCAGCCGTTTTTAGTCAAATTGACTCAAATTTTCAGGAGACAGTTTGGACAGGTGTCTAGAAAACTTTCTTTGTAAGAAAGGTTTACAACCGCTTTTCCCCAACTCGATCCTGTATCTATGACTGATTTTGAGTGTCTCCTGAAAATCTGAGTCAATTTGAACTAAAAACGGCTGATGTATAAAACTTTTAATCGATGACGTCAAGGGCTAAAAAGAAGAAAAACGGTACATTCTTATTAGACTTTCAGAAAATTCAACCTAGTTTTTCAAAGGTCTACCGAAAACCCCACTTCGAAAGTTTTTCCGAATCACGAAAATATGTATTCAGATGGCCGCTTTCGAATGGTGAAAAACTGCAGGTCTCTATCTCTTTATTTTTTTTTACTCTTTGTCTTTTATATTTTAATTGAAATCACATGAAATATAGCTTCAACTGACGATCGTACTTCCTGTCTATTCTCTATGCGGCTGATATTAGTAAATGTTGATTAATTAAGTGTGCTCTTTAAAACTGCATAAGCTCCGTCTCTGTATCGCTTTTCGTTCGGGAGTTGCAGGCCTTTTCCGAGGACCTACCTATCCTTCACAGTTTTAGCTTGAGAACTAGAAAAACAGATGAACTATAGGTTATCGACATCGCTAATCACCGTGGGAATACTTGTTTTTAGAAAAACTTTTAAAAATCTACCGAAAAACCAGTTTTACGAAGACTAGGGTTTTCAGACTGTTTTCACCTAATATTAAAAAATTCACTATTCACTCAAAAAACATCAGAACGAGTTCAACACCTCAGGATATGATTAATGTTGTCCGCTAAACGTGATTATAAGATCGAAAAATCGAAAAAGCATGTTAATAGAAGCAAGTTAATCCCTTTGGAAAACCTTGGGATTTTGTAAAATTTCTATTGAGATCTATTATAAATAGGATATAGAATGGCTTAAATACTCTACATTCTGAAGTTTTGAATTCATTCTGATGTGTTCGTCAACAAACACCGACTTCTTCATGAAAAGTACCGATTTTTTCAGCAAAAACACGGATTCCTTCAGGATGAGTTCTTGTGGAGAAACACCGGTTTCTTCCAGAGAAGCACCGATTTCTCCAGGAAAGAACATGAAGTTGTTACGGAGAGACACCGGTCTCTGCATCAAAAACCCTGGTTCTTCAGGGAAAAACATGAAGTGCTTGTGGATGAACACCGATATATCCAGGAGAAAGTATGAAGTTCTTGTGGTCAAACGCCGATTTTCTCCTGAAAATTTCTAAATCACAAGCATGAGTGAACTTGCAGGCAAAATATTCTACACATAGTTTATACTTAGCTTCAACATTATCCACAGCTTCAGCCAAGATGTAAGTGACAATTGGTAATCCTCCACTATTGGCCATTAAAGATAAATATATCTTACAATAATCTTTTAACTGAAGGTTGTATTTTGATTGGTTAACTTTCATGATATTATGAGGTTCAAGTAAATATTCCGCAATTTTTGAGGACCATCTTGCGATTGGTTCTTTGAACGTAGAGATTAGTTGTTCGGTTCTATTTCTGAAGTTTTTAATAAACGCTTCATCTTCTTCCTTTGTAATAACAATTACAAAATCGAAATCTCCTAAAGCGATTAATGCGATTAATGTTTCAGTTTTTTCGCTTATGGATAGTTTATTACTGTTTATTTGCTTTTTCAATTCTTCTATTAAGTCTGTTGTAGACTTTTCTTCAACAAGAAATTCAAGAATTTTGCTTGTCAGAAATGACTCTGTATAAATTTCGCTCATGTCCAACTGTGGCTCTTCATCCCAATGTTGTTCAGCTTCAAGTGTATCAAGATGCACAGCCATGCTATAAGCGGTACTACTTCTCGATAATAAAAGCGGTATACTTCTCGATAATAAAAGAGAAATGGTTCTCTTTCCGTGTCACTTAACTGGAGAAGTTGAGCTATTTCAAAATATTCTGAAATACTTGTTTGACTGTTATAATTTTTATGTCCTCCATAAAGGGCTACAATTAACGATAACCAATCGGTGTTCTTCTTTGTGTTCGTGGGTGTTCGCAGGTGTTCGTGGATGTTCATTCAAAATGTATGCTTAAAAAGCGAAATTATAAAAACTTTTTTGGGTGTTCGTTAGGCGTTGCTATATTCAGTTCGGTTTATTGAAATGATAAATGATGAGAAGAATCTTGCTCCATGCGCAACATCAACTAAAATGGCATAAACTGATA